CCTAGGCCAGTAAAATTCCAAGAAAAGCTTTCTTGTCCACACTGGCAAGAAATATGCCTAGCAAGTGTTTGATCAGAATGCAACATGACTGAGCAATTATTTTTCAAGTGTGATCAAGCTGGAAGGTTTCAACGTCTTCCCGTCCTCTTAGGTATCTCCTCTGGCCTAAGAACAGGAAAAACATTACAATTCCTATCTGAGAAGCACACAAACAAATGGCATTGCTACTGGAAGCTACAGTCTGGCTTGCTTTGCAGGGCCCATTATCTCAGCCACCCCATTGACTACCAAGAGGCAGGTGGAGTCTAAGGTACAGACACACCCATAAGGATGTGGCCAACAAACACCAAACCATTCTACACAAAAGCTGCTGCAGAGCTGGCACAATACACTAATTTTTCTTTAACTGCTGACTAGAAGTGGATAATATTTGTCATGCAATTCCAACAACAAGATCACTGCAGACTTCCGTGTGTTGGCTTGGTACCACAGAGCTAGTGCTACCAGAACTAGTTTTAGCCTCTCCCATAAAATTAAGTTTTGCTTCCTGTGTAAATAATTTCTATAGATCAAAAGTTTACAGCTTGGTGTCTTTTAAAACTGTACATAACTTTATTTAGTAGCAATATATATCTAGTCAAGCAATTAAGACTAGGCCTAGAAATGTATAGTGTAATTTGCAACTAATCAACCTGTCTTTTTTACAATACATTTCCAGAACTCAGTGTTTTATAGTGACTTCCACTCACATATTCACTGCCCCTAGTTTTGAAGCAACTCTCTGGTAACCACACAGTTATGACACCACTGAGACAATAACTTCCTTTTCTGATCAAGGATCACAGGCAGTTGATTTCAGACTGCTTGCAGAAATGCTGTAACAGAGTGTAACCTGAAGAATATGATTCCTGCAATTCTTTGATGATAAAATTGATTCCTAAATCTAATATTAAATTAAAATTATTTCAATACAATCATTATCCATTGTAAGACACAAAACTATTGGAAGGTCCATCCAGCCTTAAGTAGGGAACACTGCTGTCTGCAGGACTAGCCTACTCTTACTGTCACCTACAAACTGCACAGGAAGCTGATTTTGTTTTAGTGGTGTTGATACAAAGGTTAGCCTGTCAGAAGCTCAAAATGAGAATTCATTTTTAAATTTCTCTTTCTCACAGGAACTTGCAAAATGCATTAGCAATTAACAATTCCTATCACTTCTCCCAGTTTGCTGTGTGAAAAGGCTCAGAACTCATCTTACAAATTGCTCTTTTGAAGATCAAAGGGAAGCTGAATTTGTCTTGTGTGTGCTCTGGATGAGTTTGTAATTTACTGTTTAACTGTTTGTAATTCACTAATTAACTTTCAGAGGAGGTTTGGCAGCACACTCGTTTGACAGCCCCGGAGCACAGGATTCAGGGGAGTTCTGTGACTCTTGTGAGTTCCTTCCTTAGCTTTAATTGGTACCTCATTAGAAATTAATGAAAATGACATCCTCTGTTCTTCCCGCTCCGGGTGTAGAATGCTACTAAAAGGCCCATCACAATTCATAACACATTCAATTTATATAGCAATGGCTCTTAAGCATTATTTATGAGATGTGAATTTCATGTCAGCAGTTAGTAACTTGAAGACATTGGAAGAAGAATGAAAAAAGATCTTGAGAGTATGTATGTGTGTATGAAAACAAACAAATCTTTCTATATCTGAAAAATGTTGTGTTTGAATTGCTGGAACTCCCTTCTCAGTAGTGAATTGTTGTTCTTCGCAGCAAAGCCCTGCAGCACTGTCAAATCTGTCTAAAATTCCATGTAGTGTCAAGGGAATGAGCTCAGCAGCATCACCTCTCCCTGGACATAACTTAGAGGAGACAGGAGAGCCAATACAGCAGCCTCCCAAAAATCTCTGAGCTAGTGTAAAGCAGGAGTCATTCTCTCTGTCTCTTTCCAAAAAAGCTGTGCCTTGTTGGACAAGTCCCAGTTAATTGGATCAGTATTTGTAGATATGTCTGCATTAAAACATAGTTCAGTATGCATGTATTTTCCTTTCCACTATGTCTCACTAAAAATTTCATTGGAGGATTCACCAGGACAAATCAACAAAAAATAAGATGATTTCCAGTACTTTTAACATTAGGACAAGAAGATGTGCAACAGCAAACAATTAAATTGTTAGTCTGCAGAGGGAATTTGGATTTTAACAAGACTGCTTCAGAAACAGCTTTGGATCAACATATTTATGCTTTAAATTCTTTTTCCTTATATCCAAGCAAATGCACACACTCGACATTCTGAAGATGGTGTCTGCCTTTTTATTGATCCTGATATCAGATTTTCTCTGAATGTTTAAAACTGGGAGGAGTTTCCCCCACTTATTCCCATTGCTTAAGTTCAGGATTAAGATGCCAAGAATTTAATAGCAGTTGTTCAAAACTCAGATCAAACAATGTTCTATGTTGACCATTATTTCTGAAGACTGTGCTTATTTTACACCAGTTGATTTTACCTCATCACCTCCATCTGACCACATATCATTCATTACCTGTGCTTCACATCAGGACAGAAAATTATAACCAGGTTATGTCGATTTAGGAAATATTTTAAACAAATGAGAATTTGACAGATTTGTTCTACTGCATTTCCATCACCTCCACCCAGGGTTTTTTAATGGGCTTGTCATTCATGACCTAAAGCAACCTAATTTTACAGACAGCAGGGCAAACTAGCAAGAATGGTTTCTCCATTCTCTTTAAAACTGAATGGAGCCACATGCTGCTGATCATTGGTAAAGCAGTTTGGGTAATGTGAAGCTGAGGTGCCCTGTGTGGCTCAGTGGTAGCATTTTGCTTGCTTCTTATTAATTGATTATTAAATGTAAGTGGCACAGGGTATGCCACATTCACATCACATCAGAACACAGATAACACACCTTTACTGCACAGAGTATTAACGAAATATTGTAACTGCACAGCAACCAAAGACTTCCAGTTTTTTCAGCCCTCTTGGACACATGGAAATAGACTCCTGCCTTCTATTTTCTCATTAAAAGTATAGAGTAGAAATGTTAATAATGCAAACTATAAACTGTGTAGGATGTAATACAGGAATGCAAATTTTCATCTCCTCACTTATTGCCAAGGAATTCAGAATTTTTTTCACATTCATGTTTTATTAATACATTTTATGAACTTTAACAGAAATATTTTCATAAAGCTATATATATCCAGTAGAAGAAAATTAAAGAATAATTCCTACAACATTTATATTACAACAGTATTGAATTATGGAACCACTTCATGAAAACGTGAGAGGAACCAACCAAATGTATCTGTAATCCAGTTTACAGAAAACAAAAGGCGGGTCTTATATAATTAAAAAATTACTGATCAATGAAAGGGCTTTTTAACAGTTGCTTTCAACTTAATTGCTCTTACTTGCTCTTAATTGCTCCAATATTGCAGAATGCAGGAAAGATTAATGATGTTACATAATGGTTAAGCATTAATAGTTTATCCAATCCATCTCAAAATTCAAACTCTCTTGTTCCCAGTATTTGGGACCATTCTGCTATTTCAGCCAGGTACCCATGAGCAGGCTGAGTTGTTGTATACTTGACAACAGCAGACCAAGAGCAGAAATTCCTGCCTCTACCATGCTGAGCAGAAAGAGCCTCACCAAAATGTGTCATTGATAGCCCTGAATTTCTTCAGCTTGATTAAAATGTTACCAGAAACTTCAAAGTATACTGACACATGAGTTCCTTAAGAAGAATTTCAACATTATAGCTTTTGATTTCATGTTTGGTGGCTTCACAGATAATGTATGTTAGCTCTGTGCCAGTGCTCCACTATCAAAACAAAGCATTATCTCATGTCCAAAAGAGCCCAACACAACAGTAATCTCTAGAGCCTGAAGACAGACAGATGCTGAAGAAGAGAACAAAGCATAACACAAAATCTTTGCAGCTTTCTATCACTTCTCTTCACTGGGCATTTGGTAGTCACTATAGGATTAACTGTCTTTGCAACTACCTTAGCCCACCCTTGCTGCTCAGAAGTACATGCCTTCTCTCCAGATAATGGTTTTAACACAAGGTTTTATTTTTCACAGGTGCAACGTGAATTGCACCTATCATCTGTGTAGATCCTTTGGAAATTATCCCCTGCCTGAGACACAGTGGAGTAATGAAACAAACTTCTCCAAATGTATCAGTATAAGCATTGTCAGAGAGTTCAATAAAACCTTCAATACATGATTATATGAAAAAATAATTAGCAGGTAAAACTACCACATGCATTATCACTGGGTCCAATAAGCACATTATAACCAGTTAAGAATGCAATTGTTCCACAAAGGAGAGAGCATCTCCTTTGGAATCCAGTCACATTAATTACCGTTTCAGAAAGATTATTTGCATTGAATATGAAACCACAAATTAGCTATCTGCATGGGATTATCATCTTCAATTCAACTACCTGAACAGTGTTAACAACTTTGCAAAAGCCAAGTTGGATGATCTGAAGTGTATGATGAGCAACAACTCTTCCCCTCACAAACTAAGTGTGAGAATGAAAATATTTTCAGTTAGAGGGAGTTTTTTGATTTAAGTTTTTTATTTTAATGTAATTATAACATGCAGAAGCAGATACTGACCTATGTTCCTTTATACCCTATAGAAACCTTCTTTGAATATTTATTGATGTACTTTGTGCTTCTTCTCCTGTCAAGTGGGTATGATGCCCTTCCTGCCTTACAGGGACTTCTGAAGCTAAATTCATTAATATCTGGCATCTCTTGAGACAGGACATCAAGGCTGAAGTTTTAAAGGGGAAATTTGACAGGAACTAATTCTAACTTTTTGCTACCAATGGAAGCTATAGCTTTTGTTTAAAGCATCTTTGCAAGGTGGAAAACGCAAGTGTTCTCTGTATTTCCATGTGTGACACAGATCTGAGCACGGCTGCATTTGAAAGCCGGATGCCACTGCCAAGCTGTACTCACCACAGCGACATGATCCCAGTTCCTGCTGTACTAGTTCCAGTTTTGTTTGGCACTGGAAGCACCGACGTCTACTCTTCTGTTTGGATCGACTGGTTTCTTCAGGCCTGTCATTACTGTCATCCAGTAGCCGTGGCCGTTTCACAGGAGAAGCCTCACTCTCCGACTGTGAATCTGTTGTATTCACAACAAATATTTTAGGAAAAATATTAGAATTTCCTTGCTGAGGTATCCCTTTAGACAGACTGAAGGTATATTGCGTTCAGCTAGGGTCACCACCAAGCAGCGTGATACCTCCCATTCTATTGCATATGCATGTTTTCTTAACAACCAAAATGAGCATCATCAAGTAAAGGACAAATTATCTTTATTCTCTATAAAAACCCCTCCTGCTATCAATACTGAGTATAAAGTGAACTGATTAGCTGCCTTCCAGCCTTGGCTGGGTCATATGGAGATACATGTAGAGCATACACCATCCTAAACAATTGCATGCTTTATCTGTCATCTTATTTACTTTCGCTGCCTTCAGTGTCCCCACAGAAACTGACTGAAGTGATGAAAAACAACTGAGCACAAGTTTGACCTATTTCTTCCCTGGACAGGAGGGGGATTTTTCAAGCACAGCATGTGAATTGTATCTCTTAAGACTGGAGGCAGTACATGAAAGCACCATACCGTGCTTCCCTCTCTTTCCACATGGATAACAATTTAAATGTAAATTAGTATACACCAACAATACAACCCCAAACAAAATAAGCATGACCTATACATACGTCCTATAAATTTCAAATGCTCAGCCATTTCTAAAGGATTAGACAGAATACTATTTGCATGAGTAACTTCATAAATTTCAGCTTGCAAGAAAATGGGAAAATGGTGTGTGGAATGCCTTTAGGAATTAAAGTTTACAAGTCTTACTTCAGGTAGCATGTGCCCTTTTTTTCAGCCTTTCTTTTTTTTTTAAATGGAGAGTGTACTGACAAGGGTTCTAGAGTAGCACAGGGAATGCACATTACTGACTGAACAGTGAGATGCCCAAGCCTTGTTTTTGTGGCATGTCAGAGACACAACATCTCAGTGGATCTGCTGCTCTGCAATCCAAGTCAGGTCAGAAAAGACATTCTCCCTTCCCAGATCTGTGCACAGCAGAGTCAGTGCTGTATTTCTTTGTAATACAAACTGCAAATAAATCTAATCCTAACTGTACTAAAAACTAAATTGTTTGTTGCAGTGCTGCAAGGAGCAGTCAGTATTCTACTGCATGATGTTGAGCAAGGAAGAAAAAGCCCAATAGCTGAGTTAAATCCCTTTACAACCAGCATTTATCCAACAAATAACAGGCTAAATCTATCATTTTGGCAGGATGCTAACCCATTGAACATGTCTGTACCATAATTCTAAGATTCCATTGCTTTTGTCTGCTTTGTGCTGTCCTGAATTAGGCAGAAAAAGGTAACTGCCATGGATACAACACTATCCATACCATGTTATGTCAGCTATCTTACCTGAGCCAGTGCCGATCAACATCATGACTTTACTTGAGTAAACACCTAAAGGAGTCAGACTTGGAATACTCGGTAGCTTCTCCCCTCGGGGACGTTTTGTTAACTTCTCCTGGTTCCTCACATGCAATACAAACTAATTCACATTTCTTACTTGTGTTTCAGCCCTTGTGTCACAGTGTTTTTTCAGTTGTTGTACCCCACTGTTTACAGCCATTACAAATACACACCTTGCCTCACTGGGGGCGACTTTATTTCTGTCATACTGTTCTTAAGATATGCTGAAAATGTGCCTGGCTTTCCAACAAGTATAAAGCCTCTGTATCTCACATTTCATAGAAGAGTGAATTGCTTTCTGCACTGCATACAAGTGATAAGTTTTTATTAAGCTGCAATGATTTTATCTGATGTGTGCCTCAAGACAGCCACCTTTTTGATCAGTGTCACAGATTACAATTTACACCTTACAAAATACATATATTAGGCCTAAAATAACATTCAGTACATAATGTACTCTACCTCTGCATGCTTGGCTGTGTAGGAGCCTTGGCAAGGAAAAGAAAGTAGTGCATAATGCATTAATACAGCTGTGGAACAACTAGTCCTGTCTTAAATCTCTGGAGAAAACAGGTCAAGGGAAAGATCCTCTGAACAGACTGCCTGATTCCCTGAACAGAGATACCAACTCATACTCCAAGGCCAACAGTCCTGTCCCATGGACACTTGTTTTCAGAGTGCCTAGAACACCAGGCTAGCCTGGAGTGTACAAGGATACCCCTTCGAACAGGCAGATTCTGTCCTGTGACCTGGCTGACTCAGCATTCAGTAAATCTGTTCCAGCCCACCTTGCTGCCCCACAGAGAGGATGTACATCATCTGCAGTTTATTCACTGCTCAAACAGATACACTGCCATTATAGAACAGCTGCCTCCCACACATCTTTGCTTCTGGAAATATAAGCTATTCTGGTAGTTCTCAGAAGCAAATTTGGTATTCTAAATTACGCTGATGGAAACCGTAGTGGTCTGCTGATCCTGAAGTCCAAGTCATGGTGTGAGTCAACCAGTGTCTAAGAAGTGAATGAAACCATATGCCTTAATGAGAGAAATAGCAACCTCAAGTCAGGCTAGTAGTTCTACTAATGAAAATACTTAATCACATACTTTCAGTTAATTGGTAATGACTGACTGAATATTAACATGAGTTGGTCATTATCATAGAAATTATAGATATCTCATTTTTTATGTATCTCATTCATCTCATGTGTATCTCTCTGCCATAAGCTAAAACACTTAGCACTGAGGTAAACTCAACCTCGCTCTCACGGAGAGCACCACCTCTCTGATCACTGATTGCCCAGGCCTTGAACACAGGCATCCAAGCTAATACTCATCACAAACCAGACCCACAGCTCACACAGTTCTATCTTCCCATGAGCAAGTAGAATGAGCAAGGAGAAAGCACAGAGCAGAAATTAGACCTTTTAGAGTCAGTTCTGCGTGCATTTCTTCCAGATCACTTTGCTTTTTGTGATACTGACATATGCAATACAGGATGCAAAATACATCTTCCAGCACCTGGAATCTTGCAACCTTAAAGTTAAAGATCTGATAGCACAATGAAATTGTCATACATAGCTTTACTACCTGGAGTGCAACTGAAAAAAAGCCCCTAGGAATACAGGCTGAAGCGCTGCAGCTAGAATCAAGAGCAAATGCCCAGCATGAACCTTTAAACAACCAAAAAAGGCTACAGAGAATTCTCTCAGCCTTTCTCTCAGCCTCAGTCACTTCTCTCAGTGACTTTTCTCAGAACGTTAATTCAACAACAGCTACTTCTTCCTCTGCTTGTAAGAAACATTTTCCATGCTCAACTTGCATTTTATTATTGCACCTAAACCAACAAATACTGAGGCCGAGAGAAAAACAAAAATTTTCTTTTACCCACACATGTCAAAACTCATAAAACTTCTCTGTAAAAATGAACAATAAGGATGAGAAATCCCCAAAATTTCAGGAAGAAACTGCTCAGCAGAGTAACTGCCATTAACACATTCCCACTGCACATTCAATTCCGAGTTAAGAAGCAAGGATTCTTCTAACTGATATCTGATGGTGGAGATCCTTCTAATTGTGTATCAAACTCCCATTTGAAATGAGAGAACACAGAAGTTCAGTTAGGCAAGGCTGAAATTGGAGGCTTGTCTGGAAACAAGCAGAGCAGTGTTCTTAAAACTATTATGTCATGAACAGGGACTCATATTTGTTCCTCACTGTCCCTGTTCTCATGTTCCCCCCTCAAAATGTTTCCAAAAAAATTTTGGAGCTGATTTTCACTGCCTTACTCTCCAGCCTTGGAGGAGTTTGCAGGCTGCATGCAGATGGCTTCAGTTACAATCATGATGGCTCCTCCATAGCATTTGGGGGGAGAGCGGGATGCTCTAGGCCCAACAGAGACATAGCCTAACAAAACTTAACAGGGAAGGAGGAAGGATGGAAGAGATGGGAAAATTGTAAGAAAAAGAGGATCTCTCCTCTGCTGCTGCTTTCTTCAAGATGAATCTGTTTCATCTCTGGTTTCATGACAGCTTTTGAGGCATTCGATCAGGTTTTTTTCTTATCATAAAGAACTCATCACACAGACTGGCATTTAAGATCTCAGCTGTCTGTGCAAACACCAGAACAAGCAGTTTTTAATGAACCCTCCAACATTACTGCCATCTCCCCTGAAACTATTTTAGAAGCAGCTTACGCTGTTAAAACCTCTGTCCATGAAGAAACTTATATAGTCAAAGACAATAACAATGTAACATGGATTAACTAAAATTTGAGCAATAGCTTGTTGCCAGTTTCTAGTTGTTTTTTTTTTATCTTTTAAAAATTCATTATTCTGTTCTTAGATGAGGGATTACTTAACTGCCTGGCATGTTGATTATGCATTAAAAATTTCATCTAGAAAAAACTGCCTCTATACAAATCTTCCCTATCTCATTTACCAGAATCATAATTTAAAATAATCTCTCTAGTTCAAATGAATCTAAAATTAACATAATTGTTCCAAAACCCTTTTGTTTGTTGACTATTAATGAAGAAACAGAAATTCAAGATCAACACCTCATAAGCCGAGTCTGACAACTGTGACTGCCTCAGTCCCTTCCCTGTTGCTGCACAGTGCTGTGGAAAATGTTATTCTGAAACTGATATTTCACTGAAATGAATATCTTACCTTGTCTTTCCACACAATAGTGACTGCATCTCAAGGCTGTGCATCTCTTTGGAAGCACTCACACTCACATTAAATATATTTCTTCTGTAAATTCACCTCAGTTTTTAAAAAATACTACAGACATATGTCTCAAAAATATCTTACATAAGGCCTTTGGTAATATTTAACCACACAATCTCTCTCCTAGTATCACTGTAGGGCCCTTAGCATCATTATTTCACCCATTTATTTTTTCCCCCTCCATAGAGTTTAAAAGCAAATGTACTAAAACTCAATGTCCCTAAACAATGTGGAACAGAGAGACCACATGGGAACAGTCTCTATAAAACTCACATCCCATCAGTTGCTTCTTTGCCTCAGGAGGCTCGCCATGAAATATGAAATAACATGAAATATAAATAACACCCATAAGTTGCATTACATAAGTTATTATTTCTCATCCAT